AGTTTAGCATCGATGCCATCATCAGCGCTGGAACTAATGGACAGATCGACAACCCCTCGGTGTAAGACCTGCGACACGTGAACCATATCTGTAATCTCAGCCAACTTTCGCTGACAATTGGTTAAGAGTTGCAACCGATTGGTCTCCGAATCGTAATTATCTATAATGTGTTTGGGATACGAGTAGGCCTTTGACACCAGGAGTACCACTAAACCACGGATCTGTTGATTCGCACTTAGTATCGATCTATGGATTACAAGACATAGGGTTAGACCAAAATCACCACCAAATGGTGGTATACTTTGCCGTCTGGAGTAACGGGTGTTTCGTATCAATCAATCGCTTCAAATGGATGGCTAAGTAACTGATCTCATCCTTCAGGAGGAACCGGAGGTTCAGAAAACTTGTCGGATATTTCACCACTTGTTCCGCTTTGGAGAGTACGTCAAACCAGTCGTCCCTCCGGTGGTCACCATTACTGCCATCATTACTATCATCGCCGCTGTTGTTGTGGTTAAACCAGTGCTGCGATTGTCTGTACAGTTGGTCCACAATCTCGCCGGTCGTCGAAGACATCTCATCGGCGGCTAACGGATCGGACATTAGCCTCAGTGTCGAGTCATCCGAGTCTTGAAACTTATACAACGATTGGATGAACAGATGGTCGCCAGTCTTGCGGTGACCGCCCGTCGCAGACATCGACGGCTCCGGTCTTAAGACATCAAAACCGGACCAATAGTTGTGTCCATCACTACCACCGCTGTTATCGTTATTATTATTATTATTATAACTATTATTATTACTATTATTACTAGAGTTGGAGTAAAACTTAACAAGGTGTTTACTTTGATTACAATTAATGAGTTTTGTTTTCATTATATTTGTGTGAAATTGACATATATTTAGTAGTTTTGAGCTAAAAATCATTGTTTTAATAGACATTTGATTAGAAAAATTGATTTCTATGGCTATATATTATGGTAATAAATGTTATAAACAAATCATTTTTACACAAAAACAGTATTTATTATAATTATTTAGTTTTTAATTAAATTTATTTATTTTTAGCAAAATATCAATACAAACACGTTTTGAGAGAGTGTTTATGTCGTTGTTATTGAAAAGGGCTCGTATTATCCGCAATTTGTGGGCAGTGTTAGGCCTTTATTATACTACACGTTGTATTGGTATCTATTGGGCAATACTTTTGACCTAAAAACACGTTTGAAAATAAAAGCGCCAAGGTTCATCAAAAGTTTTATAAATCCATTGAATTGTATTATTTTTAACAGGGTATTTTTAAGCATAGATTTAATTCTTATGAAATGTGTGGGGTTAAAATTAAAGTAGATTATTAATCTTCTATAAACATTTATAAATGTTGCAAGATTATTATTTCATTTTACATGAATACAAGTTTTATATTTCTGGAATTAATTATATGAAAATTAATCTAGGAAATTTACCCAGAAAACATTTGTAGCTATGAATACTAACTTAAATGCTAACTTAAACTAGATCATTAATTAATTAATTAAAACTATTAGTAATCGGCTAATAGTTCTAAGATTTAAAGAATTGTACGTGGATAAAATTAAAATTTAATATTTTATTATTGAACTGGTACATAAGATTTCCATTATGATAATTACAAAATGAACAAGCTTATTTTTTTTGACTCCAATAAGTCACGTGACAAACACATGGCATACAAACAAAGCGTTGATTCAATACATTGACCGCAAGTGTTGCCATAATTATCATTAAAGAGACATTAGTCTCATAAGCAATACACCAATGGATCAGTTAATTGTCATCAAACACTTCAAACCATTGCAACCACTGATGGCCGACAATGGCCTCAAGACATCCATACGACTGTTGGTTGTGTTTGGGTTCAACGGATCGGAAGTCATATATTCGACAAATGAAGACAAAGTGTATGGTTTGGGTGCCAATCGGTTCGGGTGTTTGGGTTTAGGTGTGACCGATGAAGACATACAGACGCCACGACTTAACACATATCTGTCGGCATTGCGGCTCAAGAACCTGTACTATGGTTTCGGTCACTGCATGGCACTGACCACAAGTGGACAGTGCTATTCATGGGGTTGTAATGATAGGGGACAGTTAGGTGACGGGTTGTATGAGTCTAACCCTACGCCACAACTGATCCATGAGATGGCCGACAAAATAGTGGTGGACATGAGTTGTGGGAACAGACACACACGGCACTGGTATACGTGTGGGGTCTCAACGATTTCGGACAATTAGGTCGACACAGGGATCAAGACTTGCGGACATTCAGTGACGGACGACCTAAAGAGCGGGCGTTCAATGAATGCCCGCAACGGATACCCGGCTTACAGGGCATCAGGTTTCAGAAGGCTTTGTGCGGACCAAACCATACACTCCTGCTGTCAACCGACGGACACATCTACACGTGTGGTCACAACGACTTCGGACAGATAGGGAACGGCTGTTTCGACAATCAATACTCACTCATACGTATCACAGAAGATATGAAATTTACGGATATTATCGCCAACTTTGACAACACTTTATGTATTGCCGTCTCAGAGGATAAGAAGTGCTGGATTTGGGGCTATACTTATTACCACAAAAGGGTGTCATTCCCTAAAAACGTTACCAAATATACGGCCGGTTATACTCTGTACGACATTTACGCCAAGTATTCCGGAGTTAATAAGACTTTTGAGACAATTGTCTTCAGCGGTGAGTCCATTGTTCGCAATAGCGGTTCATTGGAGAAGCATTTGGTGACAAATATGGACACAAATATTGGACACAAATACTCATTCGAAGAGTTGTTTGAGATGTCGGACAATAACTTCTTAACCGACGCTAACAAAGACATTCTTCCGGGTATTATATTTCAGAGACACTTATTGGAGGTCTTCGACAGTCAATCGGACTTTGATTTGGTGTTTGCGTTCAAAGAGGAAGCGATTTATTGTCAAAAAACGATTCTTAAGATCCGAAACCATGGCTTCTGGAGAGCGATGCGCAAGCATATGGTGTCCGACACCGAGGTTTGCATCCAAAGGCAATACTCTTATGAAACGATTCGTGCGTTCATTCAATACATGTATTCAATGACACCGGAAGTGAATCTCAAGAATTGTAACCAACTGTTAGAGTTGGCCAACACTTATAGGGAACCGGAGCTCAGAGACCTGTGCTCTCAATGCCTGCAATCGATACTGGATTTGAGTAACATTTGTATGGTTTACGAAACGGCTGTTAATCACGAATTGAATTCATTACAGAAAATATGTTTGGATTTTGCGGCAAACGATTGGATAACTATTTGCAAATCAAATGAATTTCATTTAATGAACGAAAAACTTTCGCAACAAATGCTGAGTTCACTGATTGCTTACAATATCTAACGATTTGGTTGTGTTTTTAATTACAATTAATATAAAAATTTTATTGTAATCTATAAATCGATGCTAGCTAAATGTTAAATTGTTTTATTTAAATATTTAAAAATGTTTCCTAATTTTGTTGAATACAAATTGGTTTTGAAATTACATTAAATTTGAACCCAGGGTTAATTTAATAAAGTTTTTCAAACTGTAATTTAAATATTAAAAGGACATTAAAATATTTGCTAGATACTTATGATCATAATTTTATACCATTTTCACATACAGTGTACTAATTATGGCAATAATTGTGACACAAATCTATGTCCACAATAGCGGGAGTGCACTGTATCTGGTGTATCGTGTGGTGAGTCACGTGTCCATCAAATGGTTGCATAAAAGCATTGTTTTATGCGTCCATTGATTAGCACTTCCCATGTAATCATGTCTTTCATCTCCAGTGTTGTCATCAATGGTCACAACCAGTCACACGATCATTATGTCCACCACTTTGACCAACACATCGATGACATTGAAGACATCGAAGACATCGAAGACATCGAAGACATCGAAGACATTGACGAAGTGCTCTCAGATTACGAAGTGATCGATGAATTACTTAACTTTACCACCGATGAAGACAACGACAATAGTTTGAATGAAATTGAATGCGAACTCAATACGGATCTCATTGAGGAGTACTTGGATTCAACTGATAGTAAGTGTCTTAGACTTACCATTAATCGGTGTCTCATTTTAATCACTCGCTCTTACCATTCATTTCCTAGTTTCCAAAGTCTTGGAAATCATCGATACGTTTGCTGATGACACCAATGATGACACCAATGATGACACCAATGATGATACCATTGATGATACCATTGATGACACCATTGATAACACTATTCCAAATGGTGTCCAATCGATGGCTACCTCGAAGTCCAAAAGCAAGAATTCTGTCCAAAGTCATGGAAAACAGTTGCGATTCTTGTTTAAGAAGTATGGACTCCAAGTGAACCGTAAACCCATTGCCGGCGATGGCAGAAACAGTGCTAATGGTTCCCAAAGTGACACCAATTCATCGTCGGATCGGATTCGCACCCGAAGTCATAGCGATTCCAACGCCAGACATAATACACAACAATGGGATATACCTCTACACGAGTGTAGTGTAGTCATAGAACCTCTGGATCTGCACAAACTGATCCCAACTGGTGGTCATAGTTATCGTTTGCAAACAACTGCCAAACGAGACAATCGATTGAAAGCAACTGATCTGAGAGCTGGCCGGTTGGGTGCGAAAAGGGAACGGGATGTGAGACTCGCGGCCAAGTCTATGATTAAACAATTCATAGCCGACATCAAGACCTATAAGAGGACGGCATTCAGGGACAGTTCGGTTCATATTTATACGACACATGAATTGGGAACCGGCGTCACCTTAAAGATCGGTCCCATTGTCACCGAACGCAACCATTGATTCATAAATCTTATCCTTATTTTTATAACTATTTTTAATAACTGTTTTCTTATTGTAAAATACTATTTGTGTTAACTTTTCTTAAGATATTTATTCATTGAATTGCATATCATTTGTTTAATTTTTCAATTAAGAGTTATTTTAGTACACATACTATGAAATTACTGTATCATTAATCATACATTGAAATAACAGTATAAATTGATTTTTATTAGAGTACAAAACATTATCATTAGAGTTATGGAATTATTTTCATATTTAATAAAATCTAAGTTTTTTATGTAAAACATTGACTTCCTTTCAGTTTTTTATATAAATTTTGTCACTTTTGACAACCTGTTAGTGATTTGAATACAAAATTGTCAGGAATTTTGAAATCCATGGCATGTATTCTGTGTTGAAGTGATTTTATCATTGATTCACTCAATACTAATTGAAAGTTTTTCTTAAAAACACATCTCTGAAAACAATTGACACAAAATATGGTTAACTCTTTGATAATATGGTCAGTATTTAGTCCATTAATTCTGACACTCAATACATTAAGTTCATTAAATAGCAAAAGGTTTTGTGAAGTGATTATAGAGAAGTTGCAATTGAAATGTAAGTTAATACCTAGACTTTTGAGTTGTGGTAATTGAGACACACATTGCATACATTTATGAATACATTTTTGACAACTATTTTGAACACCACTTTGTGACCCCATGCCTGTATCACTGGCATCGCAAACACAGTTAATATGAATACAATTAGCATTTGAGTCGCCAATACATAAGTGTCTTAAGTTTGGAAATATTTTTGAGAAATTACTCCACAGTTTAGGCGAACATTGAATCCCATATAAACTCAAAGAATTTACGGAATTCATGACATTCATGGCACTCGTATTGAACAGAATTTGTAGTGTCTTAAGTTTGGAAATATTTTTGAGAAATTACTCCACAGTTTAGGCGAACATTGAATCCCATATAAACTCAAAGAATTTACGGAATTCATGACATTCATGGCACTCGTATTGAACAGAATTTGCGAACAAATAGATAAATGTCTTAAACATATTTGCTGTGATATATTGGCAATGAATACATCGGATGAAAGTGTTTGAAAACGAAAGCAAAACTTTTTAAGTTTTAAATTATGACAAATAGTACGGAATATCTCATTGACATCGATATTATCTATTACTACCTCTTCGTCACTACAAATGAACAGCTGATCCAATTGCACACATTTGCCGAATAACTCATCAATTAAATTGATATCTATAATAAAATCAGCATTAAGTTTAAGGCACCGAATAGTCTGTGGAAGATATTTAAATAGTAGATCCAGTGATGACCCGGGATAATTGACATCTAATGACTCAAGTCTAGGCAAATGTTGAACTAAACTAATGGCCAACGAATCAAAATATTTGTATTCATAATAACTTTTAAGCGATAAGTGTTTGATATTTGGTAACTGTTTAGCCATTTGTATCAATTCTTGGACATCCGCTGCCATCACTTCAATGCACTCCAAATACAGACCATTGAGTTGCGGACATCGATGTGATATCATCTGGATTGTATTGTAGTCAATACAACAACTCTTTAAATACAACGACTTAATGTTAGATAACTTTGTGAGTATTGATTCAAACTTATGTTGGCTTTCAATCAAATCATATCTGTTATCATTGATTGAGACAATGGCTTCACTTATATCACCCGTTAATAAGCTATTGTTTGCATTACAATACCGGGGATTATAGCCAACACTTAAGCAATTCTTGCTTTTGAGAGCAGTTCCCACACATGCCATGAATTGGTGGCAAACAGTCTCTAATCTCACCAATTGTTTGACATTTAATTCATTGAAAATTAGTCTTAAAATATCGTCATTCATAATATAATGTCTTTTCGTATGAATCAATTCACTTGTATTCAGATTTAATTTACGCGATTCTTGAGGTTTACTTTGTCTACACATTTTTGTACCGAAATTTAAGCTTTTTAATTAAATTATAAATTCTTAATGAATATTTTCATACTAACTTTAAGACAAAGTATTAGACTATTTATTAATTCTCAATAAGGGGTATATTTTGTGATAAGAATATTTAAGATATGTTTCCTAGAAATGGGTCATTCCTACGAAACCTCCTAATGTCAAGCGATGAATTACATTAGTTATGTGACATTACTGTACTTTACCCTGATATTTTTATGATTCTTATCAGTATTCTTGACAAAACTCAATGCAATACTTATCTATTGTTTTCCACTTGAGTTGTAAACAATTTTTATATAAACATATTTACGGATTATATAAATAAAATACTATTTTGTAAATCAACACTTAACTATCGAAAATGTCAAATCAAAAAATTAATTAATGAAAATATGTTAGTAATTCCCTATATTATGGATATTGAGCATAATTAATTAATTAATTAAATTACATAATCTATTTTAATAGTCTATAAAATACTAGTACACCTGTATATTACCATAAATTATTCAATAGTCATAAGATTTCCATAAAAAGTCACAAGTTTATATAAATAGATTTAATTAGTATTGCAAAATAACAGCAAGTATTGATAAAATGTACACGACACAAATGTTATAAACAAATACATGGCTAAATAACATCAGTTTTAATTAAATATTATCTAAAATATTGATTTATATTTAAATATCAAATTAATATTATATTTTAAATTCTGTTTTATACATTGCCCAGGGTACTTGTATTTCAAAATGAGTACACTTTTTTGAAGTGCAAAGTTTTTGGTTTATAAGTCTGTATTCTATTTATGAGAGTTTGTCTGGTCCTAATATTTAATGTCTGATAAACGAATTAATTATTGATGAGATTATTATCGTTATTGGTACGTGTTAATCTGAAATTAAGAACGTCTGTTCTAATAATTCCCATTCAAAATAACGTGACATACATTTTATAATAGCCCCCGACAACCCTTCCTATAGTAAAGTGCATGGAAACGACTACTTATTCACAAATTCCGTGACTATTTATATAACGTAAACACACTTTACAGTGAGAGACCTGTTATTGACATTCAAAGCGACTGCGAGTAGTGTTGTGTTCACTAATCGTTTACTAAATACTTAATTTTCACTTTTATCAAATGTTAATTATCGTTTTGTTAAACTAAATGTAAAGTTAGGGACTAGAGTTATAGACGGCGTTTTGTGTTTCAGAATTACTTTTACATGTGTTTTGACACCAAAGCAACAAAAACAGTTGTCGTCTCTGAAAATGAACTCAATTTTGCGAAATGTGTTACAAATGCATAAAAACCAGTTTTGGGTGAGTTTTGGGTTTATTTCGGGGACTTTTTGGGTACTTATCGACACATAAATTGATTTTATTTTCACCACAAGTTGCTGACGAGTCGATCGAGTCTTGAGAAGTGGTCATCAATGGTGTCATCGATGGTCATCAGCGGCTCTATCGGCGCCGACCGCCGCATGTCTTCGGCCACCACATCGACCACCACTTCGACCACCACTTCGACCACCACTTCCTCATCGTTGGTGTCGTTGGCGGACACTGTGCTCACCAAAGCCTATGAGTCCCGTAATCCCGATGTATATCACCTGTGAATCAGTTGTCTTATCGTGCGATCAGTCCTTATCTATAACTGTATTCTTGTGGTGTCTTTGCAGTCGGAATTGATGAGACTCTGCGACACGTATTACACGTCCAATAAGGAGACCAAAGACCGGTTCCTATACTTCATTGCCGATGATCTGGCCGTCAGTTCCACTCAAGCCGTCAATGTTGTCCATAACTTCCTGTCCACTAAAGTATATCTCTTAACATACAGCAAACACCACTTGCAGAACATTCACAGAGACACAACAGAGGTAATCTGGCGGCTACTGAGCCTCCTGAAACACTACAGACAGCTGTTTGAAGCGAGTGTTAACGCAGGTTTCATAAACCAACTGTTTAGTCAGATATCGCGTCTCGAGAATGGCGTCAAATTCATTGTCGACATGCGATCCGACCTCAGGGTCTGTCTCCGAGTGTCCACTAAACTGATTGTTATATTAATTGTTGATCTCATTGTTTTGCCGATTACTTGGTCCTCACTATCGATGACATGACCCACAGAACACTCTTTACGACCCGATTCACGACAAACTAACAAAAGTCAAGTTACGTTGTGAGTCATTAGTGGAGTTTCTGGACGACAGGGAGACCAAAAGCCAGCCAAAAGAATTAAACCTCTCTTAATGCACCTTAAGAGGGTGTAGATACGAGGTCTTCCATAGTGGGCAAGGGGTAGTGTACCCTGTCCTCTTCACCGCATTCACTATTATAGCCTTGAATTTGTTGTCAATTACGGCATTCAAATGATTTATCAATTGGTGTTTAGATCTCTGAGTACGAAGCCGTCCATCCCATGCGGTCGTGGGCTGACCTCAAGCGCCGTTTGGGTCCATACCGGCGCTGTTTTGTCTTCTCTCACAGTTGCCTTCCCTGCGAGCCGTTAGTCATACTTCACGTCGCCTTAACGCCATCCATTTCCTCCTCTATTCAAGTGATTATATTCTCATACGATTTGCCAACAGATTATAAAATAAATTTTTTTTAATTTTGACTTTTTATGAATAATTTTTGTATTTATATTTGTGAAGGCAATCATCCAAAGGACAGTCCCGACGCCCAGTCTTATGAACGAGAGTTTTGCGTCGCTTCCGAGGGATTCTGGTTTTGGTGTCAAAGAGGAGTCGGAAGGTCTGGACGCCGCCATATTCTACTCAATCACTTCCAGTCAAAGAGGTATTGACCACAGTTTGACAATTAATTTATTTCTTTTAGTTTTACCGTATTTTTAATGCCTATTTACCGGTATATCACAAAATGTTTTGATTATTATTTATTACGGTATTAAGTCTAAGAATTGAGAACAGTTTCAACAAAAGTGAATCCATTCCCTCCCATTCCCCTCTCCATGTGCTCCTTTTAGCCGTCGAAGCAGTCATTCAATTATTCACTTAAATATTTTGTTTTAATTAAATTTTGTGAATTCTGTCTATAGTTATCTCATAAATAATTTTCTAAAAATAATATAAAACTATTTTAATTAAACCTCAAAAACAAAGCAAACACTCAATTGTTTTTTCGCAAATCAAAAGCCATAAGAAAATAGTGTTAATTACAAGTGACGGATAGGCATATGCGGAACGGGTTATGTCTGTGTGTGTGAAACAATTAATTGGATTTATAGTTTTAAGCCATCAGATAATAAAGTCATACTAAACTGGTGTCTGTTTTATGACACAATAGTATTAATAGATTTTTATTTATTGCTTTGGTATAAGGAATAAGTATTTTATTGTTTAGTTTATTAATTAATAGGAAGTACCGGTATTAGTGTTTTATAAATAGGAATTTGTGTTTTATATAGGCTTTAACGGCACCGTTTGTTTTGTATAAGACTAATAAACGGTTTTAATTGAGTTTAATTGCATTAATTGAGTAATTATTATAATTGCAAACAATCTTAAATCAATCGCTACTATAATTACAGGACTGCACGGCATTGAGTTGGGAAACCAATTGATTAAGCGAGTGGTCCGAGAGTTGCGGTCGGAGTTCCCGTTATTATCGCAATTCTCGACACTCTCACCGGTGCCCAACTTCTGCGAGTACCTCTTGTCTGAGATGCAGTCCATACAAAACGGCGATTTAGTCAAACAGCGGAGTTTCGTGTCGGACGAGGAGCTACAGGCGCTGAAACAGCACTTTTTCGGCGACTACTCGTCCGTGTCGGACATATGGCCCAAACTCATGACACTGATTAAGAGCTGTCAATGGATAGAGGATGAGAAGCTGACAAACCTCTTGCACGAGCCACTCATGAGGAAGTGCGCCCATTATCTCTACAATGAGAAGCGCAGGGGATATGCATTGAATTCTGTCGGTGAGTATCAGCTCTTGTTTTTGTGGTCACACTCTTTACGCCTATGATTACTGTTATTGAAGTGTGTTTCTCATGAATTTGTTTTTTTGTGGTTTTGTTTTTGTTGTCAAACATATAGCGGTTATTATTGTCGAGCCTTTTGTTATCTCTAATACTTGTTATCAATGACTAGAGACTTGTTTTTAAGCCATTCATTCGTTTTTCACGTCTATTTATAGCCCACTTTCACAGCCGAAACGGCGCTGTCATGTGGCGATTGAATTGGTTGGCCGACCTCAGCACCAAAGGTATGTCCAACTCGTGCGGAATGATGGTTAACTACCGGTATTTTCTGGACACTGTCGACACCAATAGCCATATTTACACAGAGAATCGACAGATAGTGACTGACAAACAGGTCCTCAAATGGATTACTAAGCCTTTGACTTCTAATCTTTGATTTTTTGCAATTATCTGTTATTTACGTGATTTTTATCAGTCGTTTATGTTTTTGTATATATATTTATATACGAATTGTTTACAGAGTTTTTCTATTTTAGAGTTTACACAATATGATAATTATATATATTTTTATTTGCAACAGAAAAATGCATTTCAATTGTATTTTAAGTGATTTTAAATATGAATTATTTTTACTCAAAAATTGAGCGATTTTTTTGGTTTAATATTTGAATTGATTTTTGTTGTGAAATAAGTTTTTACTGTTAAAACTTTAAACTTTTGTTAACATAAATGTTATGCAATTTATGTTATAAAACAAATTTATGTATATTTTAAGCAAATATATAATTTTCGGTTTAAGTATAGTGCATATCCACTCGTACGGGACATTAAGTACAAACCATAACGCCTTTACATGTTTTTGGATATAATTTGAGTTTTATTTTCAGTAAACGTATTGTTTTGCTCACAATTATACTATAAAATGTATTTTAAGTGTTTTTTGTTTATTCGAGATTTATTTTTATACAAAAGTGATTATTAGTTATATTTGTCAATTATATTATAATTAAAGTAATAAATAAATTTTCGTTAAACTCTGGTTTGAAAAGTATTTTATGGAAAAAATATTTAATGAGGTGTTTGTAAGGGGAATGGGAGGCCCGGTATTTACGGACACTTCCGGTGCACAATAGAGGGTCCGCTTTCATTGTACTCGTCCCTCGAGATCCATATTTCCTTGAAAGTGGACAGAGAGGCCAGTATTGAGCCGCCGATCCACACGGAATACTTGCGTTCAGGGGGTGCCCTCACCATTATCCTGATAGTAGGTGGGGCCAGCTTTTGCACCTCCTTTTGCAAGCGATCGGCAAAACCGGGCAACATAGTGGTGCCCCCGGACAGTATGATATTGGCGTATAAATCCTTACGTACGTCCAAATCACACTTCATTATAGAGTTATAAGTAGTCGCGTGAATGCCGGCCGAAGTCAAGCCATACATCCAGGGCTTGAATAGCATTTCCGGGCACCGGAACCTCTCGGTGTCTATTGTGATCACCTGTCCGTCCGGTAAATCGTAGGACTTCTCGATGGCCGAGGGGTTGGCGGTAGCGGTGGTGATCTCGGCGTCAAAGTCGAGGGCGACGTAACATAACTTCTCTTTCATGTCTCGTGTGATCTCCCGTTCCGCTGGTGTTTTGAATGAGTGACCCCTTTCTGACACCATATCCATGAGATGGTCGGTCAGCTCCCGTCCGGCCCAATCCAGACGCTGTATGCCTTTTGTGAGTACATATCCCTCGTAAATGGGAACGGTATGCGTCACACCATCGCCAATGTTCACCACAAGCCCTGTTGTACGGGCGCTGGCGTACAGCGACAGTAGGCCCTCATTGGCCACATAGAGGGCCGGCGTATTGAAGGGTTCAAACATATTTTGAATCATTTTCTCGCGGATGGGTTTGGGACAGAGGGGCGCCTCCGTCAGCAGCACCGGGTGTTCACTCGGCTCCACTCGCAACTCATTATAGAAGGTGTTGTGCCATACCTTCTCCATGTCGTCCCAATTGACGACAATCCCGTGTCGGATGGGGTACTTGAGGGCCAGTAGTTCGCGCCTGTCCTGAGCCTCATCGCCCACATACGAGTGCCCGTCTGAGTCCCGGCCCACTAAACAGGAATAGACTACTCGGGGGGCGTCGTCACCGGCATAACCGGCTCTACACATACCCGACCCGTTGTCCAACACTAACGGCGCTGTATCGTTGCCAGACATTATGGCACAAACCGATGTGATTTAGTAATGTTGCCCTGATCACTTATTTGACATTCAATTATTATTTTTATTATACACTGTTATTCTGTATATTAATATTACACATTAAATATGATAAGAAAATACTGATTACAAGCATGAAGTGACAAATTGTAGTGCAATATAAGGCTAACTGTTGTGTAACTGCAGTAACATTATAAAAGTGCCATGATTAGTAAGATTACACACTATGTTTTTTGTGAATCACGATCACTGATAGTAACTGTGATATCTAAATTGTGTAGTTTTATTCATATGTATAACTACCGGTATAATATTTTGTGAACTAAATTAGTCTAATGCATATCATTGGCTAAACAATATGATTAAAACTTAACAAATGAATTTATGAATATTGTATTCAAATCCTACATTCTTTACATATTATTCATGTAATACTTTAAAACTTAGAAAATATAGTTTTATTCCTAATGAAACCATAAACTTATTTCTAAATATGTCTTACAAGGGATCAACATTTTTGTTATAATTTGTTTGTTTTATTTGTGTTTTTTCCGTAAACTTATTATTTTGCTCTGAATTTTATTATAAAGTATAGTTTAAATGTTTTTATTTATTAAATGGATTTATTTTTATAGATTAAAGTAATTATAAGTTTTATTTATAATTGCAATTAAAATAATAAATAGATTTTTCATCAAAATGTCTGCTTATGGAAGTATTTATGGAAAAATATATTTATATAAAAAGGATTTTTATATAAAAAGTAATTTTTATATAAATATAACTCTTTTAATACTTTTTTATACGACACGAAGTTTTGTTTAACAATTTTTTGTGCAAACTTAACATAATTTTCTATTTTATTGTTCAAAAACTTTCCATTTTTGGGCACAAAATAAGTTTCTATTTATGAAAAATAATTTCAAGTTTTGATAATTTATATTTTCTAATCATTTTCTGTTGTCAAATACAATGAGAGAATCGCTTTTTTGGCGTAAAAACAATTTTCTAGCAAATAATCATTTTTTGCTTATCTGCTCAGAAATTGTGAGAAAAATAAGTTTTTCATCGCAAATCGTATCATCGCTTCAATAGTTGTTACAATTGAAGTGAAAGCAATATAATGTTCATAACTTTTACATAATATGTATGATAACAATACAATAGTAATGTTTTTATAGTNAAAAATAAGTTTTTCATCGCAAATCGTATCATCGCTTCAATAGTTGTTACAATTGAAGTGAAAGCAATATAATGTTCATAACTTTTACATAATATGTATGATAACAATACAATAGTAATGTTTTTATAGTGAACACTCGTTATAAATTTAGTTAACCAATGATTACAGTATTGAACACTTTCTAACTTACAAACAATACTAACAACTCGTTTAAGTGTAGAAATAATAAAATATGAATATTTATTCATAAAAATAAAAGTTATTTAAATAAAACATGTTTAGTACACAATACCGAGAGTTCACTGTACAGGTCGTGGGATTCACTGCTCATCTATGTATTAAACTTTCAATTGTAATAAAAATTATTTTTGAAAATTATATTTTTGTTTAAAAAAATAATAACAAGAAAATGAAGTTTTATTGAATTTTTTGTTATTTTAGCCATTATTTTAAGCCATAGTTTTTCATTGCATTTTGAAAGCTAATTGTTTTTTGTGTTGAGTTTATATTTATAAATAAGTTTTATATTAAAATAAAATACTAAAACCATTTACAATGTATTATATTTATTTTAAGGATTTAAAAACAATTCAAATCCGTTTACAATCATTTATATGCATAAAACTCTCGGTGCTCTTAATACCGGTGCTCTCCTTAAATAAATCACATTAATATAACTAAAACTATAGCAAAAGTCATACGGAATTAAATGAATGAGTTTTTTGAGGCCATAAACCTATTATAAGTGAATTGTGAACACCATTTAAACCACACTTTTGTAGTTATAGTTATTGTTAACTGTTTTTTGCGAGAATAACACTTGACTTTCAATTCAATTCAAATACAATACAATATGTGAGATATTTATGACGAAAATGAATTTAAAACTTTTTGAAACTGTTTTCCGATTGTGTTGTTCATAAAAATAAGAGTTTTTGTGCGAAATAAACACTTTTTAAATGATTTTTTGTTGAGTAATAATGAATATTGTTTGAAAACCTGTGAATAGTTATGAAAATAGCGTTTTAATACATAATAAGCGAAAACTCGTCATAAAAATAATAATTTATATGAAAACCTTCAGTGAAACAAAGATTATCCGAAAAGTGAACAAAAAAAAAGTTTTGCGAAAATTATTTTCCAATGACTTTCGTTACGCCAAACGCCATATTAATCACGTATTTTATATGAATAACAATTAAGTGTTATTTTTCATTCAAGAAATCATATTTCATGAGATTATATGCATAATTTAAATTCAATGATTAAAATTCCCGAATATTTGGCGTCAAACACATCGGTTTTATGATCACTTTTATAAGGTATAGGAGTTTGTGTTTAATGATAGCTAACTATTACGGAGTGTATCGTTGAGTAGTAGAGTCTATGGCCGTCAAGTGAAGAGCACCGGCAGATTGTATTTGGTATGTCAGGCGTGACCACTCTATCGCCAATCTCTCTCTCTCTCTCTCTCTCTCTCTCTCTCTTTCTCCTATCTCTCTCCGTACTCACTCACTCTCAATCTCTGTCTCTGTATGTCTCGCTCTGACACTCACTCACTCGGAGCACCGGATCTCTACAAAAAATATAATCAAAAATCTATTTTTTCATTACTGAAGAGACCTTTTTGAATATAACGTCTCCACTGAAACACTGAACACAAGTGTCTCTCGAAAAGTACTCTTCGGTCTCGAATCAGAAGCCAAAGAGAAAGAGATTTTGTGTTTATTTCAGAGACTCTGCACTTGAAATACAGACAAAAAAGTTTTCAGTCAAAGTTTTTTGCTTTATATAAAAATATTTATTCTATCCCTACAGTAATAGCCCGCAATAAAACCAATACTATGATAGTATCAACTTTGTACAGTGTCATTTAAAATATTAAGTTTAAGAGAATTACACAAATATCTTTAAATGTTTTCAAATTAAATAATTTATTTTAATTAAATAAATTTATTTTAAAAGTGTTTGTGACCACAATTGTACACTATATGAAAGCTTTAGTGTACTTTTGGAAATGTTTGTGATTCTTGGATAACATAGTGTGAGAAATCAATTGTGAGTAAAACTTCGTGTTTTTTGTGTATTACAAATATATAAGTCATTGAATGTCTCATTCATTTATAGCCAGAAGTTCTTCACTTCGCTCCAAAGTATTGGCAATTTTGGGCCGCTTTTCAACCAAAAAATGTTTTGACTATAGTTTTGAATGAATGGAAAGCCCTTTCCATGAAATATAATGGACTTCTTTCACAATTATTACTATCATTATTGATATTATCGGCGAATTCCTTGACTCTCAACACACAATCACTTGTTATATAATATGTTTGTATGACTTGTAAAAAATCTGTAATAATATTTGTCTAATAATACAGAATTACAGCACATATTAAGTACCACTACTGGGGAACGGGAGGGGAAGACTGGAAGTGAAGACATCTCCTCTCTGGTCGGCTTACAATTGGATCAAAAGGTTTTTATTAGAGAAAATATTTTTAAGACTTCGTCTCAATACCTAATCATAAAAATAAATTTTACGATTCAATTACTGTACGAAAAATATATTTCTCAACACAAGTGTGTATTAATAGTCATCTCTATCGGCAATTGTGATGAACTTCTGGTACACATATCTAATGACTCTTTTGTGTGTTATTTAATGCAATTTTAAGGAAATATTAGATTTAGCAGCGAATGTAATCCAGAATTTGTGAGTTATTATTGTATTATGAGTATTATATTTGTGAATACATTTGTGTGGCAGACATTGCAATGCAAGTCATGATGAATACCATAAACCTTTTTTGGTAAATAATATATATAGCCCTTTATAGAGTATGATATGTAATTTACTACAGTACAGTAATTTGTGGTACATTCCAGAGACAATCCAAATATTCATATTATAATTCATATCTTAAGTACACAATTCATAATATGTGAACAACATTAGACTCATTGTCTAGTGGCATAATTGTTTGCTAATTTTTATTTTTAAATGTAGATATTAATTTCTTTAAAAATTTAAATATTTATATTTATTTCCCTATATAGTGAACAATATAATCAATTCAAGTGTTTGTTTGTGAAAATATTATTTTATATTGTTTTACAATAGAGGTGTAGATTTGACATGTATTTCACGTATACTACCCGTTAGAATGTACAATACTTTGTACATTTCAAATACTAGTGTATAATCTGTTATTCCGAGACAAATATAAATATTTGTTCAAAAGTCAAGAATAACTCGCAAATACCAAAATGCATAACAAAAAAAATATTAATTCATTTATTATTCAAAACACAGACTTAGAGATCTCTATGGAGTCAAGAATATTGTGAGAATTGTATTTCTCTCCAACTATTTAACTATTTTTAAAATACACGCTAAATATATATGTTGTTCTCATTTGTAAACTTTAATTAACATATTATTAGCGCAACATTTATTTAGTGGTTAATGCTTTTTAGTGAAACAGTTCATTATAATTTGTAATCTCCCTTAAGATATCTATGTCTGGATATACAATACACACGCGATTAGCAGTGTTTTCAAGTCTTTAAATACACTCTCCCTATGCCTACCAATCCCTATCTCGATCCCAATCCCAATCTCTCGATTCATTTGTACTTTTGATGGACTTTTTTGTTGTTGTTTTGTTTAATTTGTGTCAATACGAGTAGCCGTCAGTCTTCTACATCCCTCTCGGCGTTCAAATCGCACCAACACTTGTGAATGAGTGGTTGGGCTACAGTTGCCCTCTCTTTCCATACCATACCATACCATACCATACCATACACACCGTATATTCAAATCACAGCTCAATGTTTACCACAAGTATATAAGATATGAGTAAATGTGTGGAAAAGTCTAGTTTTTGTATTAAAGTTTCGGTTGGTTTCAAATCAAGTTTTTCTATCCTATTATAACCAATTGTATGGAAACTCTATGCGAGTAGTGGTGAAGCAGTCAGTGGTTTAAAGGCTACTCCAAACACAATCCAAAGCTCATACAGTCTGGCAGTGAATGTGTTGTCTAAAAGTCATCTAAACGTGAGATAAAACACTGACTTCTCTATGCATTCGTAATTCATTCATCATTTGTTTGCTTTAATATGTATTCAGGTTTTAGTTTATATTCTCTTATCGATTGCGAGTGAATTAAAACAAGATTTTTATTTAAAGATTTTTATTTTTAAAATCATTATTTTGTTAATAATAATAATAAATAGTAAAGAATTTGTATGAATGACTCGTAAGAATAGCTTTTTCTGAGTTTATATTGTAATCACTCTTTAAAGAGTCAAATATAGCCATCAGTTTGAAGTTTTTATCATTTATTTTAGTGCATTAACTGGTAATGAATAGCAACTGGCGATGAGTTTGCGATTTACGAGAGATTTATAAGTGCTTTCCACTCGTGTGTGGTGTCAGTCCAGCCCTCAAACTCTACTCCAACAGCACTGGTATATCACAGCAAACAGTGATTCCTATCTCTTATAATTTGTTCGCCAAATATTATATATACAACTGAATCATCCATTCAATTGAACTTTTTTCGGTGCTACTCGTCATATATATTGTAGTATTTGCCGAGAAAATCAAACTGTTATACACTTAATACACTGCAAATATATATCGTACTACACATCAAACGTTTGCAAAGTCTACGAAAAATATATCCATAAAACTGTACCATAACTCCAGTGCCGACCATAAGTTTGTACGTATTTTCTCAATCAAGAGTTAATGTTATCAAATTGTATTGAATGCCAAAGTGATGGAAGTGGTAGTGAGAGTCAGATAAGAGTACACAGTATATAAAAGTGTGAGTAAAAATAAATAACAAAAATTGTGAGCAAAAATTTTCGTTTCAAGTTATATGTAGTGAAAGATCACTTGATGTGCGCCTAAAGTGTATAATAAAAACCCTTAAGGAATATATAGCGAGAGAAATATACGGTTATATACTCTTTATGTTATGAATTGTCAGCACTTTAGACATGAAATACTGTATTACTCTATATGTTATGTAAGAAATATACAGTGAATTACTTTGTATAGTGAAGTGGAATAAACTATTTAATTAATTTCTACTTCCCATCCACTCATACTGTGTTTGAAAAACACACAAATGATTTAATATTCATCCGAAAAGTGTGTACAAAGTATTGACAATTTAATGTTTGCAGTGTTTTTGGCTTTTTATAGTGAAATAGTGATGCATTGAAAATGAGTCCATCGTTTCCAAAGGTTAGTGCAATACTTTGTTTTTTGCTTTTTTATATAATAGCATATATTTTTATATTAAGCACCGTTTATGACATACCTTTCCCTCTAATAAGAGGCAACACATATACAAAACACGGGAAATATCTTATAATATGTGTGTCTATCGATCGATACGCTAATCGAGTGCATGAATTGAAAGACAAAAGTTGGCTAACATTGCCTTTTGTGTCGATTATATTCACTGATATTAATATACATCATATGATAGGAGAGAGAAAACCTATTTTCCATAACTTATAGTCACTATTATGTTAGACAAAGAATGGAGAGACAAATATTAATTTGAGTCCATCCGTGAGCTTTACTCCCAGAGCTCTCTCTCTCTCTCTCTCTCTCTCTCTCTCTCTCTGTCTCTCTCTCTGTCTCTGTCTCTCTCTACCGGTGCAGAGCTAACAGTGCCTTAACTAACAAAACCCAAACACATTTCAAGTCAAAAGCCAAAGCCTTCGAAGCGATCAGGACTTCAATAATGAGAGGCAACTCCACCCCAAATAAAATGAGTTTTTGTCATCCCTTATACCCATAGACATAGATAGAGAACTCACGTATGTATACATAACATGTATACCCCGTATATCACCCGTGCTTTTATCACCTAAAACACAGGGCTCTCTGGTATATAACAGTTTGAAGTTTCATACGAAACACTATTGATATAAATAATGCATTAATTCTATGCATTGACGATATATACTCGATATATGCCAACAATTTATTTGAGAGACTGTTTGTCGCCCATACGCACGCTTACACAAGACATACAGTTTTTACATCATATGCCATACCATATCGCACGGTATGCTCTTTAGTAGAGCGCATACCAGTGTTGGTTAGATCGCTGACTGGGAAATACACGCCCGGATCGCAAGTTTGTGTCAGTTTCTCACTGCTCTCTATCTATTATGTAATGGTTTTTATGTGTTTCAACACAAACACCCGATCATTGAATGAGATGTGAATATCATATTATCGCAAACAAAATACACACAAAAAACTCATCAGATTTTTTTGTCAGTACACTATTCGCCGTACAATATATTCTGTGTTTTATTCAGTTATCAAACGACTAGTCAATAGTGTATTATATTCTCGTGTATGCGGTATATGTGTTGCCTTTTGGGATATTATTTGCCATCAAAAATAAATTCTGTGTTTCAAAAAAACCTAAACTAAAACTGCAGACAACAAAAACTTATTGACATAAAAAACACTCCTTTTTCTCTCTATCTATCTCTGTATTCAATCGATTTTAATCTAATCTCTTCCCCTCCATCACCACTACATCACCACTACATCTGCAATACTATAGCTATTGGCGGACTTCGGGCGCCAATTCATATGGTCGCCGGTGAGCACAATAAAGCACAGGGAGGGTAGGAAACCAGTGCCCAACCAAACCGATAAATTGCATCAACGAATCCAATCAACTTTCTATTGTGACGGTATGTATGGCAATGCTATGCGATATATTCTGTGAGACAATTCATTATCATAAAAGGGACACAAATTATGATTACTTTTTCGTATGTATTTTATTTCGCTATACTCTATACCAGTGGTAATCCTAATAAAATTCCGGCGCACAGAGTGCTTACCATAAGGAAAGGCATGTTTTATTAGCCACCAGTTCTCGATTTCGTAGTTTATTCACATTTTTCACATAAAAACTATACATCCTTTCACCGCAATCTCGGCGTACAGCTTAGCACCACTTATAGTGAATCGATATGTAAAATATCTGTTAAACTATCAGATAATATATATATTTTTTGTTTGTACACTATAGCGAGAGTGATGTGTATACAGATTTGATCGTAATATAAAAATTAGTTTTTATTTTTATTATGTTCATATTATTATTATATTTATTATTTTGTTGATAATTATGATTGCATTGAATGCTATATAAAAAGGGTGTGTATGAGAAGATACGAATGAATACCCCCTTTAAAAAACATTTTATATGGTCGCCGGTGAGCACAATAAAGCACAGGGAGGGTAGGAAACCAGTGCCCAACCAAACCGATAAATTGCATCAACGAATCCAATCAACTTTCTATTGTGACGGTATGTATGGCAATGCTATGCAATATATTCTGTGAGACAATTCATTATCATAAAAGGGACACAAATTATGATTACTTTTTCGTATGTATTTTCTTTCGCTATACTCTATACCAGTGGTAATCCTAATAAAATTCCAGCGCACAGAGTGCTTACCATAAGGAAAGGCATGTTTTATTAGCCACCAGTTCTCGATCTCGTAGTTTATTCACATTTTTCACATAAAAACAATACATCCTTTCACCACAATCTCGGCGTACAGTTTAGACCCACTTATAGTGAATCGATATGTAAAATATCTGTTAAACTATCAGATAATATATATATTTTTTGTTTGTACACTATAGCGAGAGTGATGTGTATACAGATTTGATCGTAATATAAAAATTAGTTATTATTTTTATTATGTTCATATTATTATTATATTTATTATTTTGTTGATAATTATGATTGCATTGAATGCTATATAAAAAGGGTGTGTATGAGAAGATACGAATGAATACCCCCTTTAAAAAACATTTTCCATATAATCTTAGAGAGAGAGAGAGAGAGAGAGAGAGAGAGAGAGAGAGAGCACAGAAAACCTCTTTTTAAAACTATAACTCTCTTCCCGTTAATAAAGTGATTCACTGGACCGAGATGTTTTATATACAGGTGCAGTCTCTCTCTCTCTCTCTCTCTCTCTCTCTCTCTCTCTCCATTGCCGTATACATGGAAAACAGAGAGGTTTTCCTACTTTAAAGTCGAGCGTCACTTAATTCATAACAAATAATAGCGACTCGTCTTAGACTGTGAGCCGAGACCTATGGATAGGGTCTTATATTTTAAGGCAAAACAAAGGCCTCAATGACTGACAAAAAGTCGGTTTAATTCACAGTCGGTTCACATGGTTTGAGGTGCATATCAAGGCTTTCCATTACTATCATTATGAGTGTTATTATTCAAAATATACCGTATATTTGGCGACTAACATTTTTTGTTTTATATTAAACATACTTATAGAGAAAAAATTGTTTAGGAAATAGTGTTTTTTAAGTACAGAAATTATCTTAACTCAAAGGGGAAATAAAAATTATTTTTTCCAAAACAGATCCAATGTCTATGAATTGCTTTTTATATACTATTCATTGAACTCCATATAAACATACGGTATATAAAAGTGGGGCCAAAGCTATTATAAATTTATAATACAATGTATATTAAAATATACAAAAACATGAATTGAATGATTAAAAATTGCTTTTTATAAAATACTGTTTAACGCTCTGAAAATACAGATCTTATTTAATATTCTCTCTCTCTCTCTCTCTCTCTCTCTCTCTCTCTCTCTACTAATCAAAAATATAACACAATTAAAAGCGGGTATTGTTTTAGGAAAAATTGTTTGCATTTAATGTATACAATCGCATTTAATTTACAATTCAATTAGAAATACAATACACATAATGAGAATGTATTTATTTATAGCGAAAAAATTCAGTGAAATGCAAAACAACACATAAAACGAAACGAAAAACTAATAACTAATAGCATGTAATAAATGGCAATAAAAACATGAGTTATAACTGGAAAATTGACTTTAAGAAAATACATACTATACATACTATACATAAGCAACTAAATGAATAGTCACACTCGTTTAATACACCGTTAAATATAGTTAAATATCGGAGTCCGTCGACTCCCTGTGCCATCGGAGTCAATGAGAAACACTGAGGGAAATGCTCTCTTAAGCAGTTGATTGTAGGGCTCTATTAATTACCAGCGCTTAGGGGACTGGTAACCCACTGACCTTAAGCCACTTTTTAAAAGTAAAATATTATTTTACTAAATTAAATAGCAGTTGAATATAAATCTCGAGTTACGTTACGTTTTGTTGAGCCCTGCGGTCAAGTTTAGGCTACGATTAGATGTGTTTTAGATTTTCATGTGATCTGCAAAATGTGTAGCAATTTCTCATTTCTCTGTGTCTAATGATTATAATTATAATGAAGTTATAAGAATCTAATTTATTATAAATATTTGATTTTCGAGTCTATATATACATATTAAATGCCATTAATTCTACATTTATTACTAGTTATTAATAAATACCCCACCACAAAAACACACATTGTGTAACGTTTATTGACTTTTTGGTAAAAGTATCTACCATATTATTATGAAGTGTATATATAGTTTAGGAAACACATAGACATTAAATTAATTAATTACTAAATTAAGTGTCAAAACCAGATCTAAAAATTTTAATGAAAAGATTAAGTCTTGAGAAAACACTTCACTTAACACAACAAATACATTATAATGACAGTCAGTCTCTGATAGAGTAATGCTTTATAAGAGTTATATAATGTGTATATAAAACCTATTCAGTGTCTAAATAGTATTCAATTATTTAATTGTGTGTTTTAATAATAAGTTGTTATAATTTATATTATTATTTCTAAACGTCCCTAATAGTGTATAATTTATATAAATGTATTTTATTGTAAACTCATTTTTATTATTTTTTCAAAATTCCTTTGTGTATTAATAGACAGTATATTATTATTAAGGATTTAATTTTCACAATAATAATACAATACACTCCATGTCTTAATAAATAAGTGAAACAACATTTTATTCAAAACTTTTTTGCGAGTTTCTGAACGTAAAACTTAAACTAAAATTCAATTAAACCGGTGAACCGTTTAATGATAAGTTGGTGTACCCTTGGCGTACGGGTGCTCTACACTCGCACTCGTATTATTCAAACAAAACAAAAAATATTTTTAAAAATCACTGATTATTATGTGAGAAGTGAACGATAAAACTATGAAAATATTTTCCTTAAGACTTAATGTCTCGAAAAGGCTTTAAATTTGTAATCAAAGTTTTCAAACGAAATGCATATAAAAATAAAAACTCATATAAATCTTATTTTAATATTTGAGTCAATACTTAATTAACACAAATTTAAAACTTTGAAAACTTTTTCACTCCGAAAAACAGCATAAAATTGATTTGAAAACGAGTTACTGCTATATGTGTGATTAAAAAGTTATGTTAAAATGCATTTAATGTGTAAATATTTTTCACTTATTCGCCACAAATTCATAATTAATTACTCGTTAACCCAATAATTTAGGTGATAGTGGTGTCGACTGCGGCAGTACTACTACTAGCGGTGGTGTGTCAGTGATCTGCCTGAGCACACAGCACATACAGCCCTACCACACAACCAATAATGTGATCATTGGCCACAATAACACTGATATAACTGCTAATGAGTGCAATAGTGACGACAAATATAGATATTATTGCCGTAATTGTGACACAAGTGTGGAGTCGAGTGGTGGAGACAAAAGTGATGTTCAATTCATATGCGATCGCAATCATCAACGCATTCAACGATCATTGAGTGAACCAAACCTATTGCTTATCAATAGCGACGACTGTCTCACTGGATATAAGACAATAATCACTGATATAAACATCAGGGACAGGGATGACAGCGACGATTGTGCGGACAAACACAGTGTGGACTCAAAGTCAGTGACTTCTTCCACATCGACACTACTGTCTGATGCGAGCGCAGCATCTGATGAACAAATAAGTCATAATCCGTACAATCGTTTACTCCAACAAATCGATTGGTTTAACACTAATACCAGCGATAAGGGCGTCAGCAGTAGGAGTCGGAGTAGCAGTCAGTGTAGTGTCGCGGGTGTCGGCGCTGATGGCACTGACGGCAAGGATTTCGTGTCGCAAATCAATACTATTATTGCAACGCAATTGTGTCACAACTTCTTGACTGATCAGACAAATGATGACAAACGTGTCACCAATGAAGTGGTAGTCGATGATAAAGGGAACGGCTGTACAGACCAGGCATCGGAAGATGTATATCGTGTCAAACCTGAGCCCAAGAAGAGGAGGAAGAGACAAATGAACAGGAATTATGTGAATTGCGGACAAATAGTTGGGACACAAGAATCGACACCAGAATCACAGAATCGGACGGAAAGTGCGAAACAAATGCAACAGAATTTGATTAAACGCGAGATTATGGCTGAAAACGAGGGGACAGTCGTGTCGACCACAGAAAGTGTAGTTCTAAATGACTATTTCGATAATAACAGCGCCGGTAGTAATCGCTGTGAACGACAACTACAACAGAATAAAGGAACTATACGTTCGCCATATAATAGACATTCATTAACGCTGGACGTGTCGTGTAGTATAGCACCGGCTGCTGATAGAAAGTGTAGTGCCATTACATGTGGGGCGACAGGCGCTGGAGGTGTCAGGAATTCCCGGCGGCTTATAGTCAGTGATAAACGGCTGAGAAATGCTGTCTTAGACAGACTTAAACGACTCGGAGTAAGTCATATACAGCCGTATGGCGTATAAATACCACTTATTTTTCACTTTTTTATTCCTGTCTACCGTTCCCTTCATTACATAAGTCTATTAAGGTTTGTGTTTATCTCCCGTTCCCCTCTAATGTACTTTTCATTTCATTCACATTTATTTTATTCTCGTTTTTTGTGCTAATATTTATTAATCTATTCGCACTGTTTTCATAATACCTATCCCTCCCACGCATACCAGCGCTCTCAAAGTCAATGTCGACCATCAGACGAGTCGACGGCGCCGGTAGCCACGGGTTCGCAAAAGTTTTATATGCGAACCAAAGGCTTGTATAAAAACGTGAAGAGACGCTTCTCATCCGTGCCTCCCTGTGCCGATGTGGTGGACGAGGAGCCACCACCACCTCCATCATCGCCGCCACCAACACCACCGCCAATACCGGCCCCACAAACGGCTCACAACCACAGTATTAATGGCACGACTGGTAGTACTAGTGATGAGCCAAATGTGACAACTTATACGAAGATTAATGTCAATACAATGGATAGACTGATGTTAGTCGGCGCTGATTGTCACCAACCAATGGATGCTCAGTCACTGGTGACAGCGCCTGGAGTACAGCTGAGACACTGTTCCAGTTTCGAGAGTATCGAAGATTCCGGATGCGGCTCCAGTATGTCATTCCCTTTATCTATCGCTATATTTATATGAATATGAATACACAATGTTTTAATCTTTGAGAAAAAAGATTATTTATTTATTTATTTTCAAATTTATCAAAATTATTGCTAACATTATAAAAGCCGACATCAAAAGGCCATACATTTCTTAAGCGCTTATTCCTCCACTAATACCGGTGCGGACCAGTGATGGCCATAAAAATCTCATGCAATTATAGTTTATCTCAATTTCCCATTCAATACCCTGCTATGTATTTCCCATTCAATACCCTCCTATGTATTTATCGTGTATTTCCCGGCAGAAAACATCTCCAGAATTATGTCTCTTTAAATAATAAGCACTTATTTTCTGCCATTCAATCAATACATGCATTGTTTGCGCGGAAAGTACAGCAGATTTTCAGTCATATGTTTAGACCTGAACTCAATTTTGGCATCAATTTATGAAAACAACTCTTTATTAGACACAACACACTAGTTCAGGTCTAAAGCCATGTCTAACCCGTGCCATAATTTTGACGATAGGTATCCAAACGAGTTCATTGTCTACAGACAGCAATCGGAGCTCCATTTGCACCGGAGATGACATGAATAGCTTTTATTCATCGGCACTACTGAGGGGGCCGTTCATTGGTTATGCCAAAGCCATTACCGACTGCACTCCCTGTCCCTACTATAAGGATGCCCTGCCATTCAAGGTACAGATCATCATCAGAGTTATATATAAACATAATTTCATTACCATTTGGTTCCGGCAGACGAGTAGTTGTTTAAAAATTTATATTTTCTCTATTATTAGTCTATGTATGATATAATAGACCGAAAAACACACATCAAAAGCCCTCAGAGTTAGTAAAACATATAATTTTCCCAAAATATAATATTGTAGTCCATTTGAAGTCCATAAATGAGATTAAAATAAAAATATAAATATTTGGATAAAAATAAATAATAAAATTGCGAAAAGCATTTAACTAATGAGAATTGAATTGCTTTTCATGAATGAATGCAAACATAAAAATTAGATACAATTCCGCAGAAAATAATTATTAATTGGAAACGAGTTTAACTAAACAACAAAACAAACAAAACAAAATTCAGACAAAAACATGAGAAAAAATTTCTTTAAATTCAAAAATAGCCGTTTATTTTGGGACACGAAAACTGTTTTCACTGTATATTTATAGCTAATTACTAATTAATGCCATAAATAAGTTGTTTCACTCCCTTATCAATCAATCAATTATCGATTGACTTGCTATAAAAAACTTTTATTTTTATATGTAATATGCATTTTTTCCTATGAATGATATGCCGTTCCCAGAGGGGAGACGTGATATCTATAATCTCGAAGGACGAGTCGGGCACGTGGGTAGGGATGGCCAACGGCCGCATCGGTCACTTCAAGTTTGTGAACGTCGAAGAGATCAGACACTGTGGCGACCCCTCCACCAAACGGATCCCTAACAAAGGCATTAAACTCATAATCCCTGTGACTATTGAGCATCAAGAGGGTCACCATCACCATCATCACCACCAATATCATAGTTTAGGAGCTGCCCATCAATCTAACGATAATTGCAGTCATAATCACCGGAGCAGTGGTTGCGGTGGTAGTGATGGCCAACTGTGCCATAAGGAGTGCTGTAAAGAGATTTGCGATAAATTAAAGTCACGATTACATGACTCTAATGGACGGCCACTGACTCTCAATGATATCAAACAAGTGATCGCATTATCAGATCTGCATTTGAATCTCTTGACTATCTATGGCTACAGTGATCTGAAAGTGTTGGCACACATCGAGAATAGGGACACACTTAATGACTGCGGTATTAGTGATACCGGTGCTCAGCATCGACTGCTTACCATAACGCGTCTGTTACGGGATTACTATTTCAGTTGTAATAACACTAATACTAATCACACGACTGATAGTCGACTGGTAATTAGACCACAGAATGCTAGTCAACAGCCCCCGCAGCACCGGTATGTGCCTAAACATAGACGCGACCCGAGGTGTATGGGGTCGGTGTCGGCGCCCACCACACCGGCCATTACCCCCAGCATTGACTTCATGTCCGACGACTTCAGTCAACTCATATCAAAGCTCGAGACCGTCTCGACATCCAGTCTCGAGAATAGCTGCGCTTTAGATGATGTTAAGCAGCGCCAGGAGCTGAATGCCAGCGCCAAACCCAATGATTATCCTAATGAGAGCCATAAGAAACAATTAAGTGACAAAAAGTTAGACACTTTTGCCAATTATACGAATATTATTGACAGCAATGAGAAAATCTACGAAAACACTGAACGAGTAATTAGTGTAACGCCTGAACACTATTCAAGTACTTTAGGTAAGAGTTATTGCATTTTGATTACACAAAACAGTTATTTGATTACAATAACAACTTTTTTGCTATTTACGATTATGTGTGTAATATTACACCTGTAATCTATACACTAATACACTGTTCAATTAGTTATGATACAGTGCTTGCAATTAGTTAATAACAACAAAATATTGCATTTTTTACACACATTTTTGCGGCAATTTTTTCCAATGACTTTCGAGACTATATGTGAGACAATTAAATTGAAAACTAATAGTGTTTTCATTGACTTTATTGACAAGTGATTTGTTTGGTATGTTTTCCGAGGATTTTGGTTTTCTACTGTCATTTTTGGGGGCACAGGTAGTAGTGCTGTCATAATCACAAACTCTTAGACCTTAACCATACGACATATGAATTAATAGCTACCGGTATTTGATAATTGTTAATACTATATAAATCGAGTTCATTTATAATTATGCCATTCATTATACGGCACTGGGATTGTAAGGGGACTGGAATTAGTGAATAATAAAATCTACATTTCCACTAATGTCATACAAAATAACAAAATTTAATGTGTAATAACTTATAATACAGTAAATATATAGTCAAACACTTCCACCGAAACCATTATCTGTCATATATTTAACAATAAAATAGCATCGCTTGCGAAGTAATGGTTAACGAAATTATTTATGATTATAATTATAGTTAAGATAACAAAAAATGAAATAAAAACTGTTTATTAAATAATAACAGATATACTTAAATATTAATTATTATTATACAAAATAAGATATTTTATATTACATAATACCTTTTATATTAAAATATTTTATTCAAAATAATATTTCTATACAATAATAACAGTTATATAAAACAAATGTAATAACGCGTGAAAAATGACAACAAATTTCTTCCCAAAAAACTTTTATCTAATGTCTGATTATATTCACAATTATTTTCTATACCTTTGGACTGTTTTTCTGTATTTAATTTAATGGTGTTTTTAAGAGCAATAATTATCACCACATTTAGTGCCCCAACACTTAATATGGATTTCCTATTGAATTAATGAATTAAAAATTCATTACAAAAAATATATTTCTTTATAGAGAAGGCATACAAAGAGGAGAGAAATACAATTACTGTACGTTTTTGTGCCAAACTATTATTGTTTTGTATTATTATTATTAGGCACACAATTATTGCATAACTTTAGTGTTATTGCAGTTAATATGGCATTCCTTTCGTACAATTAGATCCGATTCAAGTATTTTTCCTTTAAATATATGTCTCTATTATAACGTGTCTTAGACTCCAGTTTTCCAGCTCTCTCTCTCTCTCTCTCTCTCTCTCTGACTGTAAAAATGTTAATTTTTTACAATATTTCATGAAAAACATGTGAAAAATATTTTATTTCCTTTTGTATTCATAACAAACTTCTTTATTCCTATCATTAATCTTCGAAAAAGTTTTATATATTTCTGTGGAAATGACAGTAAAAAATAAAAATATTAATATTTTTATGCGATTCCCTGAGCTGTGAGGCCACCGTTAGCCCAAACCCTTAATAACTGAATATATATAATATTTTTTGAGACTTGAAATTATCGGTTAAATGCAATAAATTGTTGTCATATAACATGCGATGACTCGCTTTAAATACATGTTTTTAATTCCAAATAATGAATTGGATTCTGTATATTTGGGGTTAAAATCTAAATTATACTTATTATAATAAATGGCACTGTTATATAACCGTATAATGTATTGTCTGACACAGGGATGGCCAGAGGGTGACCTAACACACAGTTGAGTGATTGATTTGTTCAATGAGTTGACTCTCAGGTGTACTTTAAAGTCCATAACATTGTATACTATTATATTAAATATATCGGTTCCCCCACTAGAGAGACAACTTTGAAAAATTTAAATTTAAGATTGTTGATCTAATTTTTAAAAAAGTTTTTTTTGATAAAAGTCTCCTATTATGCATATTTAGGTAAAAATTCTAAACATATATTTTGCAATTACATGGACTGAGTCTGTGGTCATGCCTTACGTATTATTTAATATACGATATTAACTGTGAATTAAATGTTCAAAATATACAAATTGATTTCAATGACTAATTGAAGTCTGGCAAATAATGTTTGACAACTGAATGATATGAAACACCACTACTTTTTCCCCAATCTTTGCCAACAAATATATGTTTAAAACATTTGATGTTTTCCCAGTCAATCAGTCTATAGCCCTATCACTGGCTTAGGAGGAGAGGGAAGAGAGAAAAATTGATTGATTGCACGAAAAAGTTTTTTGACTAAACTTTTTTAAGGCTAATGTATTATAAATGTGCGAAAAATTATGTTTATTATTATTATTGTGCAGAAGAATAAACAATTGACTCAAAAATGGGTCACTTTTATGGGAAAATCTAGCGCTAAATACACATAAAAATTATATAATAACTTAAATAAATACTAAATGCAAATAATTGACGTTTTTTACATTTAATACACAATATATTAGCACATATACACCAATTGTCTGTGTATTTACACTGCATTTTGCATTCAATATATCATTTGCCAAAACTCTTCACCAAAACTTTCTCATTGATTAATCAATGCCTTCATTAGGCAGTCATACGGTGCTGTAAATTATATAATACCATCGCTAACACAACACACGACACAGTCATTACCTACCAGTCCTCCCCCATCCATACATCTCCATCTCATATCCTGATAGTGTTATTGCATTTAATTAATTAATTTCATGTAATTTACTGTTTGTTTGCTATGGGTTTAAGTGAGGATCATATCTATTGCAGTTATATATAGCATAGAATTGAATGCAAAAAGTTTACACATTATTAGTGTTTGAATTTTAAATGTTTGGCAATTGAGTGCTAAAATTAAATATTCCGTAGAAAAACAATTCAATTATATTTATTGGGATGATATTTAATTCAAACTTTTTATATTTACATTTATGTCGACAAAATAAATAAAAATCCTATATTTTAGTCCAAATACTAATTTTGTACTTTAATTGGAGAAATAGGTTTTCAATTATTATTTTGGTTTTTGATTTTTTCCTGAATAAATTAGTCGCTAGCACATTGAAATTAAATTTCAATACTTATTATCTAAAAACATTTTAAAGATTACATTTAAATTCAAGTTTAAGGGAGAAAATAACTCTCAAAACTCTTTTGTATATCAATCAAAATCTTAAATCAAAAATATTTAGTGAATCAGTATTTTTAGTATTTTATTATGAAATCATTTAAAATATATTTTGAGGTTATGTTAAGGGAAGTGAGAAATTCTTACTTTTTATAATTTTTTTGATTTGTAATAACAATAGGAATACATTATAAAAATAAATTCAATTATTTATAATTAGGTGAACAGAAAAAATATAAAAATTTCAAATTTAAATATTACTGTGGATTTGATTTATTTGATTCAATTTATTCCTAACAAAACCATTTTTGCCATTTAAATATAAAATACAGACAACTCCATGTATACCGTTATCTAAACTACATTGCTCACATTTGAAAAGTGCACCAATTTATACAATACATACTGTTTCATAAATAGCACTCATTTCCCATTGTAATCAATTATATCACTTTTGCCAATAGTGTATAAATCATATCTAATGCACCGATTTATTGTCTATTTGCACAATAGCCATGGGTTAACCGTACACTATAGCTATGAAATACTGTATGGCATTAAGTAGGAGATCCTCCGAGAAATGACATGAAATTATTGAACGATTGCATCTAAGAAAGCATTTTTCTCGTATAGATATGTATATAAGGAATCGATTGAAAGCCATATTCAGACATACAGTAAGACTAAGACGAGTGGCTTTCAGTTAAACAAAAAATACTACAAAAAAAACTTTTGAATAATGCATTGGAATGAATGAAATGAATTGAAACACTCTTATATAAAGTTATTCTCTCTCTCTCTCTCTCTCTCTCTCTCTCTCTCTCTCTCCACCGAAAAAACACTTCAAAAATCGATTCAATCACTAATGTTATGACAAATGAATGTCTGATTATAATACACTGTATTTCATATTGATATTCACTCACGACTTTCGATGCATACATAAGTTAAGTACACAAATGGCTTAATTGTTTGTGTCTACTCTTTCATATCTAATCCCTACCCATCCCTTCCCTTCATTAACTCATACGGATATCTCTGTCTCCCCATCCCTACACACCATATCGTATAATATCTGTTGTCAAATAAGTAAGTCATATGAATGGCAACTATAGCTCCGGGATTATTTGGATATAAAAGTGGATTTTATTTTTCAAAATTTCTATTATACGAGCGTAGGGTTGGACTCGTTATAACAAAATAAAAACATAATCATAACTGAATAATAATCATCAAAAAATGATTATATTATACTATATTAATGGCCTGTATATGTGTATGCGCTTCACCGGTATGTTATGGAAAAGGAGGGACAGGGAGGGAGAGTCTAGCTATGAAAAGTGGGTGAAAGGGGCTAATTTTCAAAAGTATAACATCGATTAATATAATCATAAACTTCATGATAAATATCGAGACATTTATCTCTTATTTATAACAAACGAATGAATTTTAAAAAGTTTTTTCAAATCTATTTGTTTTCCACTAAATATTTATTAGTGTTTTTGAATCAATGAATAATTGAATGAGTTTTTGATCCAAAAGATCCAAAAATCTAATTATTCCTGTATTTTAATACAATATATTAATAATTAATGTTTATATCAAATACATTATTAAAAATGTATTTTACTTTTTTGGTTTAGATTCACATCTAATGTAGCGAATAGTGTACAGAATATGAAATTTATTCCTGTATTTTAATACAATATATTAATAATTAATGTTTATATCAAATACATTATTAAAAATGTATTTTACTTTTTTGGTTTAGATTCACATCTAATGTAGCGAATAGTGTACAGAATATGAAAGCATTACATGCCATCTATTTATTAATGAATACCCCATAGAGTGTATAGAGATTTATCTGATCAAGTTCACTATAAACATGAGTTAACTATATATTTTTAAAAAAATTACTATAATTTATTAATGCATTTGAAAAATCATGAGTTTATATAATATTATTCTTATCTGTTATTTATAACGAGCTCTGGATTTAGGTTTTCACTCGAATTCGTATAAATCATTCAATAGATATACACAAAAATATATGCGAAAAAACAAAAATAATTTAATTTTCAATAATTAATTCACAAAACAAACTCATTTCTACAGATTCTTATAAAATGGGAAAACGCTTTAATAAATTCAAAATAAAAAAGTTTTTTGATTAGAGTCTGTGTTAAAGCGAAAATATTCATTAAAAAGGCTTTATTTTCGGCTGAAAATCAATTAGTAATTTAGTTAATAGTATGCATTCGTTAGCTCTAATTGATTGCTATGTATATCACTATTTGAATAGCGTTTTCATTACAATCATTACTNAAGCGAAAATATTCATTAAAAAGGCTTTATTTTCGGCTGAAAATCAATTAGTAATTTAGTTAATAGTATGCATTCGTTAGCTCTAATTGATTGCTATGTATATCACTATTTGAATAGCGTTTTCATTACAATCATTACTAAATTATACATTAATTGCAAAATCAAATAGAATTTAATTATTCAATAGAGTATTTGAATTTAATTAAACTCATAAATATAGCAACTTTTAATTGGAAACATTTATACAACATTTAGATTTAAAAACAAATAAATAATAATTTAATTGTTTTGTCAATCAATTAAAATATTATACATCTATGATTACAATTAAAGTATAAATTGAATGACAGATAAATTAAATGTTTTATTGATTTTCATTGCTATTAGCAATCAAATACAGTCTACGTATACCTCAATCATTGCCACAAAATTAATACTCATTTTAGTATTAATGTAAAATCCATTCAATTATAGATTCAGTTATTATTTTATAATTTATTGCGACCACAATATTTTTCATTACATTAAAAATGTTTACTTTATTTGAACAGAAATTTCATCAAAACCTCTGAGGAATAGGACCCAATCGGACAGTAGGCCAGACACTTTGGGATCCGGTAGTACCGGTAAACTGAATAAGTGTCTACACAATAGTGTCCGGTTCGCCATCCGAGACAAATCACTGGACAGGAATCTGTTGAGCAAATTAGATCTGAAGCCTATTTATATGCAAACTATTGATCGGAGGGGTGCCGGGGCTGGCGACAGACCAATCGGCACCGGTATGTCAATCTC